AGTGAAGTTATCATTAAACTTTCAAAGTCAAGTGAAGTTATTCTAAAACTTATTCTACTTTTGAGTAAATTATGATTACTTATATACTTGTAAAAATGAGCACTTGGACCTTCTAGGCCTCCTGAGCCTTTTGGACTATCTAATCTATAATAAATTATATTCTATGCTATATTTGATAAAGTGACCTATGCTAATTAAGTATTAATAAGAATATTAAAGAATATCAAAGAAATAATTATAAATAAATAAATAAAAATAAAAATAGAATAAAGATCATAACTAAAAATAATTATCCAATAGTATTAGAGGTTATTTTTATCACAATATATTTTTAGGTTATTGAAAAGTGATTCACATATAAGAACACAATGATAGATATATGTAAAAATGTGATGACACTTATGATCCATAAGATAATATACTAAATTAGGATTAACAATAATTATTACAAGTTAATACATCAGCTCTCTAGAGCCTCCTAATTATATTGTTGCCACTTTGATATAATTAGAATATCATTGACACCTTTTTTTTTTATCTTCTTTTAAAGAAGCAAGTTTAAATTGCTTTGTTTATAGCCTTCTTTTTATAAACTCAAGATTCCTAACTTTATAATTCTATTTTCTTTTTTTAGCTTTGCTTCTATATGTTATCTTTATTGCACATGTTTTTTTAAATATTTTTTGCTCTATAAATATATATACTCCTATAAATTCATATGTACAAAACTATGCTTTACAAATTTATATGCAAAACTATACTTTACAAATCTATTCATAAAACTACAGTGTATAACAAAACTTTTTGGAATTTTATTTATATAATATAAACATATATAACTTTTTTAAAACAAAAGCAATTCACATGAAATTTTAAACATGTAAACAACATATTTTAACAAGTATATACTATATATACCATTAAAATTCCTTATTTATTATATTTTTTATAAATATATTCTTATAATATCATTTTCTAAAAAATATACATAACATCAAATTATATTACATTTGTGAAAGAATGGAATTACTTCTGTAAATTAATATATATTCTAGAATTGGTATAAACATATCAACTATTTATTACAATCTTAAAAAAATTAAATTCTAAAGAAAATAATTCAAGAAAATCAAGTAGAGGTTGACCTAAAAAGATTACTGCATATGAATTAAAAGCAATTGGTCAATACTTACACCATGATCCAAGACTTTCTACAAGAACTTTAACAATTAAATTATTAAATATGAATACTGAAGTATTTTATATGACAATTTCAAGACATTTAGCAAACTTGGGTTATAAAAATAATCTACCTTTAGAAACTTCTATACTTACTACTGCTTATAAAGAAGCTTGTGTTATTTGGACAAAGAAATATCTTAATCATAATTGGAAAAAGACCTTATTTTCTGATGAAACAGCATTTCAACTATTTAGAAATACAATTATTTAATGATATAAAAATTCAAAACTAGTTAGAATAATATCTAAAGATTGTACTAAAATTTTTACATGGGAAGGATTTTGTATAAAAGAAAAAATTTCTCTTTTTTGTTTTAAAGAAATTATAAATACAAAATTTTATGTTAATATTTTGCAAAAACACAAATTAAAAATTATTGAATTGCTTGAAAATAATTTTTATTTTCAGTATAATAATAATTCTAAACAATAAGCAAAATTGCTAAAGCATTTATTAATGAAAATTTTTCTAAAGTTTTAGATTGGCTTTCTAATAGCCAAAACTTAAATTATATTAAAAATCTATGAGCTATTGTTAAAAGAAATGTAGAAATAAAATTACTTAAAAATATTTTAAAATTAGAACATTTTATGATAGAAGAATGAGATAAAATTTCCAATAAGGTTTTAAATAATTTTATATATTCAATGAAAGAAAGATGTGAAATAATTGAAAAGAAAGGTGAAAAAATTAATTATTAATTTTATATTAATAAAATCTTTAGATTTTCAACTTCATTTTGATATATTTTTTATTAATTTTTATGTAGTAATTTTTGAGTAATGAATAAATAAAAAATTCCAAAAAGTTTTGTTACATACTGTATCTATTATATATGCTTCACAAATATATTCACGAAACTATTTACCTTATATGTTTCACAAATCTATCTATAAAACTATCAATCCTATATGCTCCACAAATCTATTTGTGAAACTATCTACTCTATATACTTCACAAATTTATTTGCGAAACTATTTACCCTATATACTTCACAAATTTATCCACAAAACTATCTATCCTACATGCTCTACAAATCTATTTGCGAAACTATCTATCCTACATGCTTCACAAATTTATCTGTGAAACTATTTACCCTATATGCTTCACAAATCTATTCACAAAACTATATATCCTATATGCTCTACAAATTTATTCATGATACTATCTATCCTAAATGTTTCACAAATCTATCTGCAAAACTATTTACTCTACATGCTCCACAAATTTATCCACGAAATTATCTATCCTACATATTCTACAAATTTATTCACGAAATTATCTACCCTATATGTTTCACAAATCTATCCATGAAACTATTTATTCTACATGCTTCACAAATCTATTCACAAAACTATCTATCCTACATGCTTCACAAATCTATTTGCAAAACTATCTATTCTATATGCTTCACAAATCTATCCATAAAACTATCTATACTACATGCTCTATATCTATAAAACCATTTGTCTTACATACTTCACAAATCTATCCACAAAACTATCTACCCTATATACTTTATATCTGCGAAACTATCTACTCTACATGCTCTATATTCATGAAACTATTTACTCTATATGCTCTATATCCATGAAACTATCTACCCTATATGTTCTATATCTCTATTCTATATGTTCCACAAATCTATTTGTGAAACCATCTACTCTATATGCTACACAAATCTATCTACAAAACTATCTACTCTACATGTTTCACAAATCTATCTATGAAACTATCTACCCTATATGCTTCACAAATCTATCTACGAAACTATTTACTCTACATATTTTACAAATTTATTTGTAAAACTATACTATTCTACATGCTCCACAAATCTATTTGCAAAACTATTTACCTTACATACTTTATAAATCTATTCACAAAACTATACTACTCTACATGTTTCACAAATCTACTCACAAAACTATACTATCCTACATACTTCACAAATCTACTTGTAAAACTTTTTTTTTTTTTTATCGTGAATAAGCATTAAATGTGAGACTTTATTTAAATAAGAGTATTTACTATCATTACATTAACAATCTTTACAATTGTAAATTAATTGTAGCCTATCGCAACAAATCTATTTATACCAGTTAACACCTCAAAGGTGGACTTATGTCAATAGTATTGAATGGCCAATGCCTATTTAAAATGATGATACTATTGCTGAAGTGAAAATTGATTTATGGATATAATTGTGTGAGTTACTTAACAAGATTGCAATAGTATTGAATGTAGTAATGTTGTTTGTGCTTGAATTTAGAGATTTAGGGCAACTTGTTTTTTTCCACTTTATTCCAGTAGTTGGTGAAGTTGTCACTGTAGCAGAGCACTGTTTCCAGGCCTTGTAAAGAACTTTAAGTATATAATTGGAAATAATGTCTTTTTTTTGGAGAAGATCAAATGAGGGATTGAATTTGTAAGTGACTAAGTTAAGCAAAGTATTTTCTATTAATATAAAGGTATTGATAAAATCAGTGGATTTGACATGTTTTGGATTGAGATCTAGAATAAGGTTTTCAATTTTTGGTTTCTTTTTATTGAGTAGAGGTTTGTTATAAGAGCAAGAAAATATATGTGGTAAATCCTCTGAAGCTGCATTACACCCAGGGCAGATGTTGTCAGGATAATGATCTGGGTTTTGCTTGTGAAGCTTGACTCTATTTGGAAGTTGGTTGGCCAAGAGTTTGGACCTAAAGATGGATAGAGCTCTGTATTTGAATCGATCAATATTTCTAAGTTTATTGTTAGCTTTAATGATGATTTCCAGATTCGTGAAGAACGAGGGTTTGTAGGTAGCTGACTTGTTAAGGAATATGTCAAATAAGTTGATATAATAGTTTATAAATTTGATCCAATTTGTTATACTAGTTGCATGTGTATTGTTAATTAATGACGAGGTTGAGAATGTTAAGGGGAAGCATTGGGGAATTGAAGTATTAATTATAGGAGAGGTGTTGAAAGGTGGTTGTTGATCTCTCAGTTTGTGCTACAGAATAGTAAGATTTTTGGCTGCTATAATGATATTATATTCATTAATAATCTTACTAAAGGGGACTTTGATTTGTTTGTTAATATACTCTAGGATATTTGTATTGAGGATTGTATTTAGATATATATTTATCATCGATAACTGTGAGATGTCAGTAAGAGTTTGGTAGAGAACTGGTCAAAAAATGGCCCAGAAGTTGAGATGTAGTATATATGTAAGAGTGAGATCAGGCTTTATGACTGATAAATTATCACTGTTTAAGTCGTGATATAGATGTATAGTGGTTGGTTTCGTAGTTGTAAGAAGTGGTGTGATTGTTATTTGGGGGATTGGTTGCATTGCACTCAAAAAAGAATCTAAAAGTTCTTGAATATTGTTGAGTAAATATTTTGAGTTTGCCCGTATAGTATGTCAGACAGATTTGAGATCGTGAATATTTTTTTCCTTGACATATGGTTGGACTGAGCATGAGCATAGGATTATTTTCTTGTTGCTAGGTTGATAATGAATACCTTTAATAATTGTAGAGGGAAAAGCGTTAATACATACTTTGATGAGATTGATATAGTTATTATCTTGAAAAGCCCCAAATTTAATTTTTGTTTTGTTGGGAAGGAATATTGTATTACTGCAGATAGTTATAGAGGTATCCGAGATAGCAGTAAACCAATTGGGGATAGGACCAGGTATTATTCGTCTTCTGTGTGTATGTAATTCTTCCCAAGTTAGTTTAATGTTTCTTTTGTATATGTATATGTTCTAGATGGTTTTAATATTAGAGTAATATAGTGAAAGAGCAGTTGCTTTTGTGAGTTTGATGTTTAAACCAATTGAGTTCTCATGGTTATTATGATTAAAAGGGCAGGGAAGTGGACAGATTCTAATGTTATATCTCTTGGCTAGTAGGGCTGTTGATATTATCCATGAGTCAGTAAAGTAATAAGGGAAACAGATTGGACAGCACCAGATTGCTTGGGCGGCTTGTATTGATATGATTTCTCTTGAAGTGACGGGAAAGATTTTTAAATTGGTGAGTTTGACTGTCAAAATTTTAATGGTGGTGAGATCACAACAGTTTTGAAGTTTGACAATGTTGAGACTTGCTGGTGAGTATAAAATTTTATTGGAAATAATATGCTTGACACCTAATCTTGCTTTAATTGGTTTGTTCATTTTCCTTTGAAGGATGACCATTTCATTATCTGATGGGACTGTAGCATTGATGGCATATTCTAATTGTGCTGGTATAATCCAGTGAGAAGCTTGTCTAGTTATTAAACCATTCCATCCTTTTTGTGATGAAATTGCATTGGTGAACTTTAGGATTTTTTCTAATAGCTTATTTTTTGTAGAACAATATGAGGATTTGTTTGAGAGATAAACTCCAAGGTATCTGATGCCCTCCTTATATAGTCTAGGGTAGGTTTTTTCCCCTTCGACTGTGAGGATAAGAAGAAATAGTAGATATTTGTTACTTCTTGGATGACTTGTATATTAGAGCTTGCTAAGGTGACATCGTCCATGTAAGCAAGGATTTTGGAGGTTGACGAGTATTCAGTTGATATTTTAGTTACTACAGGGTCATAAAAGATGGTCCATAGTAATGGAGCTAGGGGTTCCCCTTG